TATATGTGGCTGGCGCCTTAGCCGCTTGAGCCACAGGCGCCGAGCCAACTTACCAGCTCTTTAACCTTGGATCAGTAACACTCTGTATTTGGAGCCTTGGGCTCTTTATCCATGAAATGATAATAAAAGCACTCCCTAGCAGGTCTGGGGTAAGAATTAGAAACAATATAGGTAAAATGCGCCCACATTGTTATTATCAGTGTTTTTCCTTCCCCACAGGGCTGCTGTGAGGATTAAGTGAGATAATGCCTATGAAAGGACTCTGAAAATGGACAGGCTGTGGAGCAACCGTGGACTGCAGCCAGGAGAGGTGGGACCCTCCAGCGATCAAGGCCCCTGCTGACCCCCTCCACCACTCCCTGCTTGTACCCTGCTGTACCCTCATGCTCACCCGTCTCCCCCGCATGGAAGAAGTAGGGTAGTTTGAAACCATGCTTGACAGGGATCATCAGAGCCTCCCTTAACTCAAAGAGGGTGTGGCCAGTGTCCTCGTGCCCCACCTGCAGGACAGAGAAGAGGGACATGGAGCATGATTCAAGTGTGGCCCATGAACGCCCTTCCTTGTGCTCTGCACTACTGCTTGCAACTTAGTCACACAGCCTTCTAAGAATGACCAGTGGTGCAGCTGGGGTAGAAAAGAGAGCACAGCATTGCCCTGAAGTAGTTGCCCCCTTATTCAGGGGCCCGCACCTTGGATCTCCCAGCACTGCCCCCAGTCTCCTCTCACAGCACCCTCCAGGTTCTGGCTTCACCCCTGAGTTCCTGTCGGTGAGGAGAGGAAGTCAGGGTACCCCTGAACTCTGCCCTTAGGTCTCCTAGTCTTGCACAGAGAGGGGCGGAGGGAGGAGCTCCTATCTTCTTAAGAGACTAGACTCCTTGTGCAATTGCCAAGAACCCCCAGGAGGACACACTTCTGGGCTCTGGTTGTCCTGATATGAAGAGTTTTGTTTTGTTTTGTTTTTGAGACAGAGCCTCAAGCTGTCATATTGGGTAGAGTGCTGTAGCATCACAGCTCACAGCAACCTCAAATTCTTGGGCTTAAGCGATTTTCTTGCCTCAGCCTCCCAAGTAGCTGGGATTACAGGCGCCCGCCACAATGCCCAGCTATTTTTTGGTTGCAGTTGTCGTTTCTATCTGGCAGGCCTGGGTTGGATTCGAACCCCCCAGCTCTGGTGTATGTGGCTGGTGTCTTAGCCACTTGAGCTACAGGCGCCGAGCTCTGATATGAAGAGTTTAAGCACAATCTTTGGTAACAAAAGAGGAAGTCAGGGTGTCTTCCAGCCAGCTGGCCAAGTTAATGAGAATCTTAGTGAGATCAAGGAGTTGCCACCTAGGAAGTCTGTCCTGGCTGTGGTTTGATTGGGGGAGGGGTGTAAGAGACAGTGACGACACCTATGGATATGCAGCTTCAGAAATAGATGGGGAGGCTCGGCGCCTATAGCTCAACCGGCTAAGGCGCCAGCCACGTACACCTAAGGTGGCGGGTTCGAATCCCCAGCCTGGACCTGCCAAACAACAATGACGGCTGCAACCAAAAAAAAATAGCCGGGCGTTGTGGCGGGCGCCTGTGGTCCCAGCTACTTGGGAGGCGGAGGCAGGAGACTCACTTGAGCCCAGGAGTTGGAGGTTGCTGTGAGCTGTAATGCCACGGTACTCTACCCAGGGGGGACAGCTTGAGGCTCTGTCTAAAACAAAAAAAAAAAAAATAGATGGGGAAGCAAATGGGATAGAGAAGAGGGAGGAATGTTACATCCCTGAGGATTTCCAGGACTGGCCCTGTCATGGACTCTGCTTCCAGACATTCTCCCTACTCATGTACTACAGGGGCCAATGAGGGTTCTAAGAGCCAGTTGGAAGTGAGTAACATGGAATAGAAAAAGGGCAGAAGGCAGGGGCCATATTTATTGTCCCCACACCCTGAACTCAATCCTTACTCTGGAACTTTCCTCGTTAGTCATCTGGCCCCCTGCTCTCTCTTCTCTTGTGACTGCTGTCCCCTAAGATTCCAAGAAATGGTCAGCACTGAACTGCGAGCAGCCCTGGCAGGTCAGTGGCCTGAGCAGGGTTGCAGTGGGTGCTGTGGACACGTGGGCTCCCTGCACACAGAGGTTCCTGGCAGGCCTGGACAGGTGCCTGCGTGCCCCCTTCGCAGACAGCCTTTCTGTTCACAGAATCGTTACCAGATCAAACCCTGCCACCATCCTGGGGAACTTGGCTCGAAGATCCATGGCTTTGTGGACAGATTCTGTGATGAGAGACACATCTTTGGATCTAAGAGAGATAGAGACACTAGGAGATAGTTCCACTCGGCATTAACAGTAATAAACCCCAAACGGCCTCCCTCAGTGCCTGGCACCACTACTGCCCATATGACCCTTCTCAGCTATTGTGACCCTGAGAAATATTTCACCCAAATCCATTCCTATCAAGGACCTTTGCTGGCTGCAGGGGCATCAGGGGATCCACAGGAAAAATCTTATTTATGTATGTTTGTAGGTGGCAAAGTGGCTTGTCTGAGACTTTTCCTGCATCCCTGTGGGGTGGGTCATGGGAACAGACACAGTATGGAGGCCGGTTCTCTGTCCACTGGACACCTGTGAAAGGCCACAGGTCACTCTGGTCTCTGACAAGTAGGTTGGACCCGGTAACCATCTGGCCACTTGCTGATTAAGTCAGCAAGAGTCTGGGCACTCCAGAAACCCCCCAGGGGTGAGGCAAGCAGCATAACACAAAAGATGAGAGTCTGGTGCAAGTCCACAACAAGAGGAAGGGGTCTTGTTGCCAGGCTGCTGGCTCACCTGTTCCAATCCTCAGTTTTTTGGAGATTATGCTGTCCTGGCAGCCCGTGTCCCACCCTCCCCCAACAGTTCAGGGGAACATGGGAGCACCTGTCTCCTCAGCTCAGCTCTCTCACTCCCTTGCAACCAGCCAGAGAGGCAGCAGCTGGCACTGGGGAGGTGCTGAGTGGAGCCAGCTGGGCTCCCCCTGCAAGCTCCCTCCCGGGAGCACCAGCATACAGGCGAGGGGCTCAGCTCCTGCCACCCCCAGGTCCCACAGGAAGGGAGGGCACTTGGGGGGATATGACTGCCCTCCAGCACTCACCCCATCCCATGGTGCCCCTCCCCACACCCCAACTTAGAGCAACCCCATTTGGCTGCTGCCCTGCTACACTGGCCACAGATGGTCACAGCCTCTCATCAGGGAGAGCTGCGAGACTAGTAAAACCAGAATGACAAATGAGCTACAAGGGAAGGACAGTGGGGCGTTCACCACCCCATACACCAGGCCACATACCCGTCACTGCTGCGAGGTCCCCACATTTAGACCTGACCCAGCGCCACTCAGGGCCCCGCATGCAACAACACAGAGAACAACCCCAGTGGCAAATGAAACCAAGAAATGGGCCAGTTATCCAAACATTCAGGTAAAAGCAGTAGGCTCCCAACTGAGTCACTGAGGCCAACGTGGAGTCACAGCCTAGAAACACCTGAAGAACTGTCGCAGTACTTCGTTTCAGTTTGGCTATGAAGACCCAGACTAGAAGCAATCTCACGGATAGATCCTGACCTTTACACTCATGTACAAGTGCACATGCTGAGCCCATCACTCTCTGGAACCTGGCCCAAGATCTCTAGCCCACCCAATACCCCTCACCCCTCTCTCTCCTCTGCTCCCCCTCCTCAACCTAGGGCCTCTGCCCCCTCCCCATTCTCCCAACTCTACCAACTTTAGCAACAGTTCCTCTCACCTGTGATCCGTATAAATGATTTTGATTCCAATAAACTCTGGGTGAGTTTTCACAAACATGTCAACCACTTCCTTGTAAGTCTTCACTGCCCACTCCTTGTCGTGGATCTCCCCGTTCAGCTCATACACCTGGGAGGAAAGCAAGGCCCGAGCAGGCATCAGAGGTGAACAGGGAAAAACATCACTGCCAACCGTCTGCCAGCTCTGAAGCCAGCTGGACTTGCAGTCACGGCCCCTGACATCTTCTCTGCTGCTTTATCAAAAGTCCTAGTCCTCAGGAGGATAAACTAACTCTGACACCTGCCTGTCTCATTTACTGGGTCTCTGCACCTAGAACAGTGCCTGGCATGGTGAATAGTAGGTGTTCAGTACCTATTTGTATAATAATGATTGAAGAACAGAGGCTGGGCGCCGTGGCTCACACCTGTAATCCTAGCACTCTGGGAGGCCAAGGTAGGTGGAGTCCTTGAGGAGTTTGAGACCAGCCTGAACAAGAGCAAGACACCCCTCTCTAAAAATAGCCAGGCATTATGGTGGCACCTATAGTCCCCACTACTCAGGTGGCTGAGGCAAGAGGATCTTTTGAGTCCGAGAGTTTGAAGTTGCTGTGAGCTATGATGCCAAGGTACTCTACTGAGGACAACAAAATGGGACTCTGTCTCAAAAACGAAAAAACAGGGCGGTGCCTGTGGCTCAGAGGAGTAGGGCACTGGCCCCATATACCAGAAGTGGTGGGTTTAAACCCAGCCCCAACCAAAAACTGCAAAAAAAAAAAAAAAAACTAAAAACAAAAGAACAGTGATTGAAGAACAGGTCAGAGCTGGACAGAGGACACAATAAGAAAGAGTATTCCAAGAAGCTGTGTTGTGGCTCGGCGCCTGTGGCTCAAGTGGCTAAGGCACCAGCCATGTACACCCAAGGTGGCGGGTTCAAATCCAGCCTGGGCCTGCTAAACAACAATGACGGCTGCAACCAAAAAATAGCCTGGTGTTGTGACGAGCACCTGTGGTCCCAGCTACTTGGGAGGCTGAGGCAGGAGACTTGCTTGAGCCTAGGAGTTGGAGGTTGCTGTGAGCGGTGATGCAACAGCACTCTACCCAGGAGGACAGCTTGAGGCTCTGTCTCAAAAAAAAAAAAAAAGAATCTGTGTTGTCTCCCTGCTATCCTACCCCCTCACTTCCTGCCTCTTCCCCACCTCCAGATGGTCAGGAAAGGTAGAAGACCTGGGAGCAGGTGGCCTGTAAGACAAAGGAGAAAGAGGCTGAGGGAAAAGAGATGTGTAATGGGAAGGGGTGTAGGAAGACCCCTTGATGCAGGCGGGTATCAAGCCAGGTCACAGTTTCCAGAGAGTTGGATTGCTGGGACCGTCTGCCCTCCCGTGTCACTGGGCCAGGTCTTTAACCCACACCATGTGGCAGTGTGCACAGGCAGTTCAGGGTGAGAACAGGGTGTGGGAGATTTTGCAAAGACTGTAGGGTGAGGCAGTGTAGGGGTCCAGTTTCTTCCCAGGGCCTTTAATGAAGCACCTGTGATGAATAAAGAACTGGGCTAAGCACTGGGCGAGTAACACGGGCTGATAAGATAAGGGGCATGTACCTGCCCTCCAGGAGATGACAATCTAATCAGAGACAGACTAAAATAAGTATGAAATACAAGTACATGGGAGCTTGCAGGAAGTAGCAATTCATTTTAAGTGGACAGAGTCTGAGAAGATTGCCAGTCTCTGGACCCAGGGAACAGCAACTCTGCACAGAGCTGGGTACTCAGGGGATTCAGGGAGCCAGGAGCTACTCCTTATCCCAAAGGGGAAAAGTCCTTTCTCCTCACTGGATCAGCCCTTATTTCCCTGACATCACGGGAGCTGGGGCCTCTCAGGGACCACCTCCCCGCTTGTTGCCCATGCCCACGGGTCCCCCCCTCACACTACACATGCCGATACTGGCACGATGTGTACCATCTGTGCCTCACCCTCGCTGTGCCTTCCTCCCCAGGCCAGCAGAGCACTGCATCTGCCCTTTGGCCCCCGGAAGTCCTGCTCTGCTGCCTGGTTGGAGGGGGGAGCTTGGCCCCATTGGTCTTTGCTGTTTGTTTCCTCAGCCACCACCTGGGGAAGCCTGGAACATCAACAACCCCACAGGGCTGCCCATAGCCAGGGCACTGGGCTTACCACTCTGGGGTGGAGTTGCCCCAGAGCTTGTCCAGCAGCAGCCCTGCTATTGTTATTTATAGAAGGGACTCAAACTAGACCACCCCAGGTAGGTCCTTTGGCACAAGGATTATTTTGAATTGGGGGCAACTAAGAAGTAGCCAATGCAGACAGAGCTCTCTGCTCCAGCCCTCTCCCCAAAAGCGGGAAGAATGAGTGTGAAATGCAACCAGTCCCCAAGTTACAAACATCCAACTGTCATATGACTTGCACTTACAAACAGAGGCTATTGCAGACATTACAATTTTCCTTTGTGAAGGTATTTTCCTGCCCTCTCCCTTATGACGACAACTATTTCACTGGAGGGGGAAAGCTCTCACCGAGATGGGTCTGCACAAAGAAGTCTTAATAAAATAACTCATATCATCCACTAGTTTTCCCACACAGTTTATCCTCTCACAGTTTACCAGAAGCCCAAACTCCTTTGTCTTGCCACTTCGTAATTTATCATTATTTGCCAAAACGGTATATAGGCCCCCAGTCTAAATTCTTCTGGCCCTTCACATCTTTTCAGTGAAGGCTTCCACCTATCTGTGCACATCAAATTAAATGTTAACATCAAATAAAAAAATAAAAAAATAATTTTTTTGAGACATAGTCTCACTTTGTTACCCCACCCCCGTAGAGTGCCATGGCATCATAGCTCACAGCAACCTCAAACTCTTAGGCTCAAGTGATTCTCTTGCCTCAGCCTCCCAAGCAGCTGGGACTACAGATGCCCACCACAACACTCAGCTGTTTTCAGAGACGGAGGTCTGGCTCTGGCTCAGGCTGGTCTTGAAACTGTGAGCTGAGGCAATCCACCACCTTGGCCTCCTAGAGTGCTAGGGTTACAGGTGAGAGCCACCTCGCTCAGTAACATCAAATAAAATCTGCATGCCTTTTCTCCTGTTAATCTTTTGTCAGTTTAATTCACAGGCCTCAGACAGATACTCTAAGAAGATAGAGGAAAAGTTTTATTTTTCCCCTCCTACATTTCAA